CTCGCAAAAGCCCGTTTGACAGAAATGTTTAAAAAGTGTTGGGTTTCCTACGAATCCGCAAGAGCGCGCGGGATGAAATTTTGACATTTTTTTTGAAAAACCATTGTTTTTTTGATGTTTTTATGTTAAAATCGCTACGAAAACTAAGGTTTTGGAAGGATTTCGTCTTGCGCGCGCGAATGTCCACTTTACCTTATTTTTTGCAAGGGATTCTTGAAGTTTGGTTATGTTAGAACAAGAAATGTCCACTTTAGCTTATTTTTTGCAAGGGAAAACCGATCGTAACAACACAACCGGATCTGGATGACATCGTTTTGCCTGAGACTTCCTCACGAAAATGATGAAAATGAGGCTGCGGCCTAGGCGCGGCGGGGGGGCCATGCACCAGGGGCCCCAACAATAATTATTCTTTAGAAGTAATAATGTTCAACAACAACAACAACAACAACAACAATCATTTTACCCGAACGCTCAGTGTTCTCCCCAGTGCCAGGGTTTTCATGCGACGCCAGGCAATACCCCCACTTCGTGGGGGGGCAGTTCAAGCTCTACCAAATATCCAAACGACTCTTCGCGACCACCCAAACCCAGCTTCCCGCCCTATGACGTTGGGACACTTCACTTCGTGGCGTGCGGACGACCGTGGCTACTACACTGGCGTGGGGTACACACCCACAGAACTTGGTCACTTATTCGGGGCGCGCGTGTGCCCAGCATCCTGCAATTGTGACATACAATACATGACACAGACAGACAGAGAGAGAGACAGAGAGCAGACAGAGAGAGAGACAGAGAGAGCGGAGTTGGTCACATTTTTGGGGCAAGTTCCTGAGATCGTCGTGTTTTTTGTTGGTCTTGCGCGCGCGAATGTCCACTTTACTTTTTTTTTGCAAGGGAATTGAAATTTGATTATGTTAGAACAAGAAAAAGTAGCTCGCGCGAGCTCATGTAACATAAATGTTGAAAAACCATTGGTTTTGTGGGAGTCGGACAGCGCGCGCGGGATGAAATTTGGACATTTTTTTTTGAAAAACCATTGGGTTTTTGATGTTTTTATGTTGAAATCGCTACGAAACCTAAGGTTCTGGAAGGATTTCGTCTTGCGCGCGCGAATGTCCACTTTACCTTATTTTTTGCAAGGGATTATTGAAATTTGATTATGTTAGAACAAGAAAAAGTAGCTCGCGCGAGCTCATGTAACATAAATGTTGAAAAACCATTGGTTTTGTGGGATTCGGACAGCGCGCGCGGAAGGACATTTTGACAATTTTTTCTTAAAAAACCATTGGGTTTTTGATGTTTTTATGTTAAAATCGTTACGAAACCTAAGGTTTTGGAAGGATTTCGTCTTGCGCGCACGAATGTCCACTTTACCTTATTTTTTGCAAGGGATTCTTGCAATTTGATCAAGTAAGAACAAGAATTTTCATTTTCACTTCCGGTTCCACTTTTCTGAAGCTTTCGCGAAAAAATGATGAAAATGTAGCTGCGGCCTAGGTTTTGGAGGGGGGTCGCGCACCAGGGGTCCCAACAATAATTATTCTTAAGAAGAAATAATGTTCAACAACAAAAATGATCAAAAAATATGTTTTCAAAATAGCCCCCAGACTATGTTTTGACTATTTTTGAACATTCACCCTGTAGAGGGACAGGCCCGACTTACGGCAAGAGCGGCGGAAAGGGGGCGAGATCGGCCCGCTCGCTGGGCCTCCAGCCTTGCTGCAGCATCGGAGGCGTCCAAACCCCACCTGCCTGCCAGGGCCCCCCAAGACCGATCCCCCTGGCGAATAGGAAGGCGCTTGAAATAGATTGGGATCTGGGAGTCCAAAACACATACTTTCAACGACCGGCGCGTGCGTATGAATGCTCGCCTTGGAATCCCTTCCCAAAGGCTGACTTCTCATCCTGGACAGTCGTGTTGACGATCCTGGGACCCGAGGGCGGTCACCTGGAGGCGGCACTAGCCGCCCGCACTTCTTCGATGTCGAAGGGGCCCAGGGAGACACACACACATATATATATATATATATATATATATATATATATATATATATATGCATATGCATATACATATGCATATACATATACATAAACATATACATATGCACACACACACACACACCTTCCAGGATTCCGTTTTCTTCTATATTTCCGTCTTCCCCTCCACTTCCCATATTTCCTCTGATTTTTATTGGAATCGACGAAAAAGTTGCGTCCGTGTCTAATTTTTCCCGACCCCTCAAATCGATTTAAAGGCCTGCCCTGGCGTGCATCTGAGTTTACAATTGGGATCCAGCCGCGGCGACGAGGACGACCTGGGAGGCCCAAAACACACCAGAGAGCGTAAGAGCTCGCATCGAGCCTTCGAAGAGGGCGGATCAGAGCCCCGCGAGGCCTGGTGCGCACGCGGAAGCCCGAGGGCCCCTCCTGGATGGTGTGGCCGACGACCATCCTGAACGCGCCGACGCGCCGTAGAACGTCCTGTCGGGCAAGGGGGGCGCGGCGGGGCGAACATTTGGCAAGTCCCTAGAACAAGACGAAGCGAGGACGAGGACAGAATCGGGCAAAGATAAACCAAGAACCTGTGAGATCCGGCGGATCTGCAGGATGTCTTGGGGGCCGCGGCCTCCTCATAGCGTTCTGGCAGGCTCTGAGAGCGTTCAGGCACGTTCTGAACGGACTTATCCTCGTTTTAGCCCCGTCCGACCCTCCTCCATCCTCCTCCTCATCGTCCTCCTCCTCCCCCCTCCTCCTCCTCCTCCTCCTCCTCGTCCTCCTCCTCCCCCCTCCTCCTCCTCCTCCTCCTCCTCCTCCTCCTCCTCCTCCTCCTCCTCCTCCAAAGAGAACCCAGAATCGATAAGCCGGATCCCTTGGGAGGTTCAATTCCGCCGGCTTCCGCCGGCCTTCTGCCAGCCTTCCGCCAGCCTTCCGCCAGCGGCCTCGTGCTCTTCCGCCGCCCGGGGAGGGGGGCGAAGGGGAGGGGCTACGGCAGGCCCGGGCCGGCAGTGACGAACCCAGCGGTGACGACGACGCCGCGCGGATCGCGACGCCGCGCGGATCGTCCAAACTTCGGCGATCGGCGGTTGTTGTCGTCGTCGTCCCCGTCCACGTCGTCGTCGTCGTCCTCGTCGTCGTCTTCGTCGTCCCCGTCGTCGTCGTCGTCGTCGTCGTCGTCGTCGTCGTCGTCGTCGTCGTCGTCGTCGTCGTCGTCGTCGTCGTCGTCGTCGTCGTCGTCGTCGTCGTCGTCGTCGTCGTCGTCGTCGTCGTCGTCGATCGTTCCCATCGACCGACTCTGGGCCACCGGCCGCGTTCCACTCGGGAACGCCCGCGCTCGGGCCGCCGCCGCGTCGACACGGCGCGAACCTCTGCCGCACGAGGGCCGAAGTCCAGGCTCAAGGGCCATCAAGGACGATCGCCACATGTGAAAAGTGAATACCGCGCGCTCCACGGCCCTGAGAAGCGTGCTGCAGAGGCCGGAAGGCGGAGCTCGAGTCCTTCGCCAGCGCCCGAATGCTGGGCCCTAGGCATTCGCGGCGCCCGTCGACGGCGCGGGCACCCAGTCAACGACCACGGACTGCCCCCCAAAAAGTATACTCTTGAAAAGCGACAGGGGTCGAAGTACAGTGCGGACGCGGCAGCAAGAAACTCTCGTAAGAAACCCAGCCCTGAGGACCCGCGCGAAGGGTGCGACTGGGGGGAAGGCCAAGGCACCCTGAACGCAGCAGTTTTTTCAACGGTCGCGGGAAGTCACCGCGCAGCGCGAGGAGCGAAGAAACCCAGGGTACCCCGATGAAAAGTACATGGTTTCTTGATGCGCGCCCCCACTGGATCACACTGGACCCCGCGGAGCAGAAAACAAAAGTTACACCTCGGAAATCGCGGCAGTCAAACAAAACCTGCGCATAATCCCACGAGCCCTTCAAGGCGTAAGGTGGTCTAGAAGATTTCCTCTTCCAACCCCTTCTTCCCCTTCGGGAAGGGGTTTCTCCTTACTTTTTATGATTGAACACCCCCACATCCCTACCTCGCCGGCCGATAGCAACCCCGTCGTCCGAACTGTCAGAAAAATGCAAGTTCCACTTTTTTCTCGCCAACATGTCGTCGAATTGCGAAAGTGTAGCAGGAACGGGACGGAATAAACATCGCTTGGGAGGCCCTAGTGGTCGCGTCCTACCTATAAAAGATCAACGTTTTTTCGTCAACATGGACTTTCTTGTCGTCGACGCTGAGAACAGTGTGGCAATAATGGGACGCGGCGCACATGGCGCGCGGACGCCTGGCCAACCCTACGCAGGACCCCCGTCCTACCGGCCAAAAAACATAAAAACGTCGACGTTTTTTTGCCAACATGCACTTTCTCCTCGTCAGCGCCGCGAGTCGCGCAGCGGGAATGGGACGCGGCGCACATCGCGCGGGGACGCCTGTTCGTCAACATGGACCTTCTTGTCCTCGACTCTGCGGCCCGTCGGATTGAGGAGCTGGGCGGGCGGCAAGTCATGATGCCTCAAGCAAGTGCGGTGCAAGCAAGTGCCTCAGGAGACCCCCAGGAGGTCGAAAAAAGGCGCCCAGGAGGTCCTGGGGGGCAACACATATATTGATTTGTCATTCGGTGTTTGAAAGATTGTGAGCACCTACTTGTGTTGACAATGTTTCAACCCGGAAGATATATCCAAGAGGCCCTCGGGCGCATGCCGGAAAGCTCCCTGGACGCCCCGCGAATTCCGATGATGCATTATCCTCTTCCTCCCGGGTTTCTCCCTCCCTCCCTCTCTCCCTCCCCTCCCCCATTCCCATTCCCCTCCTCCTCCTCCTCCTCCTCCTCCTCCTCCTCCTCCTCCTCCTCCTCCTCCTCCTCCTCCTCCTCCTCCTCTTCCTCCTCCTCCTTCCCCCCGCCTCCATGCGCGGCAGGAGCGAAACGATTGGCGGTACAACGCGCTTGGCAGGAATGAGACGCGGCGCACTTCGCGCGCTGGACATGTTGTCGCCGACGATGCAACATGAGAGGCCAGAGCGGGGCTCGGCGTACATTGCGCGCGGTCTTGTTTCTCGTCGACGTAGGACGCATCCCATGTCGCTCGCTGAACTTCTAGCCGCCCACGATATAAGATGAGCGACAGGCGTCGGACGCGACGCACTTGCTTCTTATCTTGTGGGAGAGCGGGTGGGTGTGAACGGAGCCCTCTGGCTCGCTCGAGCTGGCCAACTTGACCCCTCCCCCTCCCCTGGACCTGGACGGGGCCGGTCGCGAGGTGTCAGGGCGTCCAAAACGGCCTCGGCGAGGAATCAAAAATCATTGGATTTACTGCGGTTTGGGCCCCATGTTGGCCTCTTGGGGACGGGGACGTCAATTGCTACCCCCCTTCTTTGATGGATCTCCTCCACTCCCCAAGAGGACCCCGAGCGGCCCCAAGAGGTCCCCCCGAGGCACCCAAGACGCCCAAGAGCCCCCCCCGACCGCCAAGAGACCCCCAAGACGTCCCAGGAGGCCACCAAGAAGCGCCCAAGAGATATCCCAAAAGGCTCCGAGAGGCATCCAAGAGACCTCTGGCCCTTTTGCTTGCCCTCCTCCTCCTCCTGCGCCTCCTTCCTCCTCCTACTCCTTCTCTTCCTCCTCCTCCTCCTCCTCCTCCTCCTCCTCCTCCTCCTCCTCCTCCTCCTCCTCCTCCTCCTTCTCCTCCTCCTCCTCCGCCGTCCTCGCGCGCACGTGGAGGGGGCGCAGCGCGGGGGAGCCGCCATGGCTGCGGCAGGGAAAGGACTACGATGAGTGCGGGGTCTTCATGGGCGGCGCCTGTGCCGCTCGCGCGACGCGCCCGCCTGTGGTTTGGGCCGCAGGCCGCGCGGCGCGCGTGGGCCCCGTGAGGAAGGTGGACAAGGTCGCCTCAGTGGTCGGCATGGTGTTCATCTTCCCGGAGTGCGCGTACGGCAAGTTCCTCCTCTTCAAGGGGCCGGCTTGCCGTACTGAGTCCCCAGGGGGCCAGGAGCGCCCGAAGGAGCAGGTGGTGGACGTGATGATGCAGGTTGCCATCACGGTGATCTCTAGTGCTTTCGGCAAGATGCGGGAGGCGAAGCTGGAGCTCACGGAGAATTCGTTCGAGGAGGTGGGGGTCGTCCACCAGTCTTCGATGATCAGCAGGGTGAGCGACCCGTTCAAGTCGCTCGAGGTTGAGTACCAGCCACTCTCTCGAGTGGCGGGTGCTCATCAGGCCTGAGGGCCCTTTAGGCCTCGGGGGGGTGGCTGTGCTCGGGGGGTTCGTTCTTTCAGCGGGCCTCCTCTCGGCCCCTCCTGGGTGTCTGGGGCCCCGTGGGCCCGCCCGTCCGCCCCGCTGAAAGGCCCTAGAGTGCAGCTATCCCCCAGGGGCGCGGGCGGCGTCCGCGGCCGTAGCGCCGAGCGTTCGGGTCCCGACCCGTTCGATTTAGTCAGCACCCTCAGCACCCTCCTCCTCCTGCTCCTCCTCCTCCTCCTCCTCCTCCTCCTCCTCCTCCTCCTCCTCATCCTCCTCATCCTCCTCTTCATCCTGTTCATCCTGCTTTTCCCCATTCCCTCACCCATCCATCCAGCCTCCTCCTTCTCCTCGTCCCTCCTTCGCACGGTTCGGCCGTCCCCCTCTTTGCTCCCGCACGCCCCTGATCACCTCAACTCGCCTGGACATCGTTTCTGGGTGGGCTGGTGGGCATACTTGTTTGATCGCGAGCGCACCGGAGGACGCCGGACGCCGTCCAAGGTCGCAGCAGGCAAGCTACGAGCGAATTGCGCATCAGGAGGAGAGGGAGGCGACGAGAGGACAGCGGGAGGAGGAACAAACAGGAGGCGGGCCTCGCTGCCGCTCAGAGACTGGTGGGCATACGCTTCGCGTCTAGAATTTTGTCGAGGAGTCTGTCGACCAAGTCGACCCCGCCCGATGGGGCCCTCGCGAGTCGCCAATCAGGCAGGGCGGCCGATCAGGCGCACGTCCCCCCCCCGACAACAAGGGCAAGTGAAAACCTCGGGCTGGCGCCGCTTCGCGGCGCTCGCGCTCTGTGCTGTTCGAGAGCGACTTCGGCAAACATTGCGACGGCCGGCATTCGCCGCAAAAGTCAGTCGGCCGATCTTTTGAAGATAGCGCCAGGTCAACCAAAATGAGAAAAGCCTGCGTCATATTGGCTTTTATCACTTGAAAACGGGAGGGATGCCACAGGGGCTCTCGGAGGCCACAATTGACCACTTTGCAAAACGAATAGATGCGCATAGCTATCCGCAAGCCCGATTTCCCAGACTTCCGAGCCCACGGGACAGGCGGCGGCGGCGACGCCTGCCGCAGCAGGCGCCCACTCCAGCCGGCGCCAGCGCCTCTGGCGTCGAGGAGCACCACAACAATAGCCAGCGAGCACGAAAACGTTCTCGTGAGCACCACACTGCGCTCGCGACCGCCAGGCGGCCAGGGAAGCCAGACCCTGCCAGTACCACGGTAGTGCACCAACGCCACACGCATGCGAAACAAGACGTCGGCCCCTGCAAGTGCCACAACAGCCTGCGAGCACTGCAACCTGTCCGCGTGCGTACAATATATCTGTGAACCTCACGGCAGCCTGCCCCAAGAGCACGACGCAGGCGCGGCGCCACGACGGCGCCTTGCCACGAAGCCGCGGTGCACGCGTGCGCTGCGGCAGTGCCGGGGGGACACTGCACTGCAGTGTGGGGTGTGGAAGGGGGGGGGGGGGGGGGGAAGGGGGGGAGGGGGAGGAAGGAGAGGGGGGGGAGGGGAGGAAGGGAGGGGGGTGGGAGGGGGAGGGAGGGGGGGGAAGGAAGGGGAGGGAGGAGGGGGGAGGGCGTTACGCGGGGGGGGGGGGGGGGGGGCGCTACGTGACGTTGGGGGGGGGAGGGGGCCACGACGTGCGTCATGGTCCAGGCCTTCAAAAAAACACTCTCCAGGCCACCCGCCTCCCGCCTCCGTGCGGGGTAACATCTCCAGAATCCAGCGGGGACAGTATCAACGGGGGGGGTGCGAGAATCGAGGATCGACCCCCGAGTTTCTGCACACTTGTTGCTGTCTCTGTCGCCAGAAACACCTGGGGACCACGTGAAACGCAAAGGAGGTTCAGGCTCACGCACGCGCCTCGCCGGGGTGTGGGGGTGCCGAAGCCCCAATCGACAATGACTGGGCGATTTGTGGTCGATGCTTCCCCTCCTGGGGCCAGTCCCCCCTCGCCTCCCTGCAGAGCCCAGACATCATCCGATATGATGTCTTGCAGCCCGCGGTCCCAAAGACCGCGAACCCTTCTCTCTGGGGCAGCTCTGCATCCCGAATCCATTTCTGACGGCCCCAGAGCCCGAAAGCAGCCCCTCTAGGTCGCAACCAGCCAGGCGAAAACGCCGCGATCGAGCCCCCAAACAAAAAAAAAAAAAACGCCAGAGGTCTGGGAGCAGACGGTCAACATGTATGGTAAGGACGGGCGACAAGGGCGCAGGAGCCACAGGCGCCGAAACTGGCACATTTGGGGCGGCAGGCTTCCCGCCCCAAGGGTACTCGGAGGGGCCGGCCAGTGAAAACGGCGAAGGACGGGCCGCAGAGGCGAGGACACAAGGGCACTCTGTGGACAATCGTGCGTCCTTGCTGTCAGTTCTGACCGTAGCCAGGCCCGAGAGGAGCAGCTGCGGGCAATACTTCCGTCCTTATCCACTGCAGTTTGAAGTTTAGGGCTCCCTTCCCCAGAAGCCCGAGGCTCCCTGGATGTGCATAAGAGTATCTGCCCCCTTGTAGGCTCGGTCTTTATCCATATCCAGTGCGCCTCGGCATTGCGGCGCCCTTTCCAAGAAAGTCCAAGACGCACTGGATATGGATAGAAAGTTCGGTCGGGCATGTCCCCCATACAGGCGGATTTGAAACGATACATCAGAAACAAATTCCCAAAATACTCAAAAATCAATGAGTGGAAAATCGTCCCCAGACATTCTGTTTGACTAGTTTTGAATGCTCCTCCTGTCAAGGGGCACGCCCGACTTGAATAGAAATGTTGCCCGCAGCAGCGGAAGCGAGGCGGACCCGCGCAGCGTGCGCGCCAGGGGGTGATTTCCAGGATTTCCGCCATCCCCTAGGGAGAAAAAGGCTGGGCTCAGATCCGACTTGGGGTGCAAGCCCCTCGAGATCCGGTCGAGGTATCCTCGACGGGTCTTGGAGATCGGCAGAGTGCACGGCTTGCCTGAGCCTCTGAGCTGGGCCTGACCGAAAAACCGCAAGCTCCACAATACCAGATCTCCAAACTGCTGTGTACAGTGCGGACGCGGCCGCAAGAAACCCTCGCAAGAAACCCAGCCCTGAAAATCCGCGCGCGAGATGCACACGGGGGGGAACCCGGAGCACCCCGAATGCAGCAGCTTCTTCAACGGCCGCGGGAAGTCACCGCGCAGCGCGCGGAGCGAAGAAACCCAGGATACCCTGACGAAAAGCATACGGTTTCATGATGCGCGCCCCCACTGTACATTGGGGCGTGGAGCGCCGGGGGGGGGGCGGGGAGCGGCCGAAGACTTCAAGGAGACACGGGCCCGGTCCTCGGCCATGGCGCAGACCCGGGCGTCCGGGCCCTCCGGGTACTCGCGCGTCCACACGGGGCCGTCGGCCTCCAGGAGCGCCGCGGAGGCCCTGGCGGGCTCCAGGGGCTGTAAGGATCCGAACTCTATACAGCGACGCTGTTTTCAGGCCCCGCACTGAAACCCGCACAGGGCAGAGGATCCTGGCGTACACGGGATCCTGGTGTGTACATGTTACGTCGTTTCCCGAGAAGAACGGGGGAAAAGCATACACCGCACCACCCCGACGTCGTCCCCGACCCTCAAGAAGTCCTGGGATTGAAAAGCAGCCCGCCACTGGTAATGTATCTTTTCCAGTTTCTGGGGCTGGTCTCGCGAGGCCGCCAATGCAGAGCGATGTCGAGTTTGCAGCCAGGGTCGGGGCGAATACCGTGGATGGGACGCACAGGGACATACGAATACTATATGTCCTCCTCGGAGGCGCCCGTCCGACCCGAACATGTAGTATACCCATCTCGCAGTAGATCGCTTCCCGAGCGGTGTGGCCAGAAAGCGCCCGCCACGACGCATATACTATAAGATTTCTCGGTGCGCGCGTCGCCCCTGAAGGGGCGACTTACACATAGTTTAAGTATGTCGGGGTGGCGCCGAATGGAGTCCAGTCCACAAGAAACCTTCCGCAAGAAGCCCAACCCCGAGACCCCAGGACGTCCATGGATTTTTGGTGCAGGAGCGTCACGCTTTCCATGGCAGAACCCTCGAAGCCCAAGAAACCCAGGGCACCCTGGAGGCAAGCAGGGTGTTTCTTGGCATGGGCCCCCACTGTAGTTTTACCCAAAGAGAAATCATCACAATGTGTGTCCTTTCTCTGAGCGGGCAGTCGGAGTCGCTTCCAAGCAGAGCGCAAATCCGAAATCCTGGCGGGAACTGTTCGCCGAGGTGCGCGCACGCTGGTGGTGGCCAGCCGTACCTTGCCTTCAGTGCTGCGCCGAGAGCTCTGGCCCGGGCAGAGTGTGCAGGCCACCTGCCGTTGGCTAGGTCATCAACTCAGACCTGCCTTCAGCAAGACAACTTCCCACCAGCCCTCCGGGCGTAGGTGGTTTAACGAGTTTTGCCTTCTCTCTTTCCACAACCCCTCCTTCCCCTGCTCGGGGGAGGGGTTTACCCCTCCTCCTACCCCGTCCACTTTGGCTGCGACGGGGGGGAGGCGTTAGAGCGCCCAAGACGGCCCCAAGAGGGCCTCAGGGAGCACAAGATGACCTCCAAGATGGCTCAAGACATTTGAAGATGACGCAATAGAGCCTCCGACATACATCGAAGACGCCCCAAGATGGCCCCAAGATGGTTTCAAATGCCATCCGAGCCCTCCAAGAACCCCCAAGACCGCCGGCAGAGGCGGCCTCGTTTGACTTCCGCCGCCCTTCCGCCGCTTTCCGCCGCGGAAGAAATGCCAACTCCAACGATCCTCGACGACAAGGCCCTTTTTTGGAACGCCCCAGATGGCCCGAAAGTCCCAAAAGGATCCCAAGAGGGCCCCAAGAGGACCTCAAGAGAGCCTGAAGATGGCTCCACGAGACCCCCGAGAACTTTTCACAACAACGTTTCAACTCGCCTGGCAAACTGTTTCTGAATGGGCTGGTGGCAATACTTTTTTAGTCAGCGGCCGCGGGCGAGCGCGCCAGCGGCGAGTCAGGTCAAAGCGGGCAACGCAGAGACTAATTAGGCAGAGGCGGCGCGAAAGGGCTACAACGCGGCAAGCCGCGCTGGTGGCAATATATAAATATGTTTTAAACAGCCGCAGGCGGAAGCGCCGGCGGCGGCGGGTCACGGTCGGGCTGCGGCCGTGACGAATTCGCCGGGCGCGCGCGGGGGCCGCGGATCAGGCGGCGGTGCAAGCTGCAGCCCAGGGAGTCTGAAGGGAAACAGCCACCCAGGAAGCAGGGAAGACGCTGCCAAAATGGCGCGTCGCACACCCCCAGTCAAGGATCGTGTCGGTCCGACGATCACAGGGCAGTGGGGTTCTGACTCCGTGCAAGAAGTGCGTCAGTAGCCCAAGGTGTCTGTCGGGTATGAGCGAGACCATAGGCAAGAGAGCTGACGTCGTCCAGCAGGGAGAAGGGACTCTGACAGCGCCAGCGAACCGTCGCAGCTTCAGAGTACGCATCCACGCGGCTGAAAAGGCACGCCTGAAGTCAATGACAACAAGAGTCAACCCTCAAACCAGTTGCGGAAGAATGCGTTCGCACGCGAAAGATCAACGACATGATGTGACGCAGTGCAAAGGTACACCTGCTCCCGACCTTGGCGAGAGACCCGACGGCATCCGAGGTGACAGGGCGTGTACCAGGAAGCAACTAAGTGACATAACAAAGAGCCGTTCTCCAGGAGACTCTGAAAGACCAGAAAGGAAATAGCGCTCTGAGAAAGCAGTGCTGCCGCATACCCACTGCAGCACAAGAAATCGTAGTCACGAAGACGCCCAGGAAGTTTCCGTGAAAGGAGTGCGTCAGTAGCCCAGGGTATCTGTCGGGTGTGAGCGAGACCGTAGGCAAGAGAGCTGACGTCGTCCAGCACCGTGCAAGAAGAGTGTCCGAGAGCCCAGGGTGTCTGCCGGGTATGAGCGAGACCGTAGTGGGGATCTGTCTCCGTGCACGAGGGGTGTCAGAGAGCCCAGGGTGTCTGCCGGGTATGAGCGAGACCGTAGGCATGCGTTCGCACGCGAAAGATCAACGACATGATGTGACGCAGTGCGGAAGGTACACCTGTTCCCGACCTCGGCGCGAGACACGAGGGCCAACCGAAGATGATTTGTTTTTCCAAAGGCGGACTGCAAACTCGGAGACGCAACGAACGCAGCAACAAGCGGTAACGTAACGCATCCCGTGAGTCACCACGCCAACTGCCCGCCAGAGACGGCACGATCCAGCACCTCGCTCAGCAGCGCCAAGGCCCTCTGCCTCTGCTCGCCCCTCTCGCACGCGCAGTTCCCAGCGCTGTAGCTGATGGCTGTGGGCTCCAGCTGCTTCGCCTCGCACGCCTCAATAAACAGCGCCAAAGCCAACGGCCATTGCTCGCCCATCTCTCACGCGCTGGTCTCAACGATGCAACTGAACAAAACAGATGTATCGAACACGGCATGTATTGGATCACCCCCCTGCAACTAGGTCACGCACCTCCCTGAACAAAGACAGAACTTGGCTCCATTGCCCGCCTTGCTCGCACATGCGGGCTGTAATTCCGTACGCCATGAAGCCAACGTCCAGCTTTCTCAAACTCATGGTTCTGAGCATGCTCAGCGCCTGTTGCCACTGCCCACCCTTCTCGCACGCGTTGACCCCACAGCTGTAGCTGATGCTATTGGGCTCCAACTTCACCTCCCACATCTCGCTCAACAGCGCCAACGCCCGCTGCCACTGCACGCCCTTCTCGCACGCGCTGACGCCAGCGTTGTAGCTGATGGCATTGGGCTCCAACTTAATCTCCCACATCTCGCTCAGCAGCGCCAACGCCGGCTGCCACTGCTCGCTCTTCTCGCACGCGCTGATCCCAGCGCTGTAGCTGATGACACTGGGCTCCAACTTCGCGTCCCGCATCTCGCTCAGCAGCGCCAGCGCCCGCTGCCACTGCTGACCCTTCTCGCACGCGCTAATGCCAGCGTTGCAGCTGATGACGTTGTAATCCAGCTTCGCCTTCAACATCCCGCTCAGCAGCACAAGCGCCCATTGCCACTGCCGGCCCTTCTCGCACGCACTGGTCCCAGCGCTGTAGCTGATGACGTTGGGTTCCAGCTCCGCCTCCCGCAGCTCTATCAGCAGCTCCAGCGCCCACTGCCACTGCTCGCCTGTCTCACACGCGCTGATCCCAGCGTTGAAACTGATGACGTTGGGCTCCAGCTTCGCCTCCCGCATCTCGCTCAGCAGCGCCAGCGCCCGCTGCCACTGAGTGCCCTTCCCGCACGCGCTGATCCCAGCGCTGTAGCTGACTAGTGCTGACCCGTAGCATGCTGGTCTCGAAGTTTATCCGAGATTGCACGTTGGATCGGGGCGCAGCTGCTGCGGGAGCGCTGCCATGATGACGCTGGGCCCGAGCTTCGGCTCTGCTGTTGCTGCCTGCGGCTGCAGGATGCTGCTGCCTGCTCCATGCTGCTGCTGCTTGATGCTTCTGTGCTGCCGCTGGTGGTGCTTGAGGCGGGCTGCGTGCTGCTGCTGTTCGCTACTTCTGCTTCTTAGCCTGCAGGGTGTTGCTTCTCTTTGCTCCTGCCAGTTGGCTGACGCAACCTGAGGCTCGCGAGGGGATCGAGAAGGGAGGAGCGAAGAGCAAAGAGCGAGGAGTCAGGTTCGAGGATGGAGGAAGGGGAAACGGGGGCTCAGCGAGGAGCAAGGAGAAATGCGAGGGGCGAGGAGCGTTGTGGACCCTCTTTGGAGTGTGGTAAACTCAACTGGGCCCTCGTGCAGGGCACTGGATCTTGCGAGCCGCTTGGGGCGTCCTTGGAGCATCCTGGCCCGGTGTCGGGGGCAAGGGAGCTAGTACACCGCTTTCATATCTGGCACGCGATTCGCTCAGAGTTGGTACAAATGACCATCGGCTCCGACATCGCATCCAACAACTCGCTGAGCCGCTGTCGACATTGGGCTCCAACTTCGCAATCGATATCTCGCTGAACAGCAGCATGACCCGCTTTCACTGCACGCCTCTCTCTCTCACACACAAATGCTGATCCCACCGCTGTAGCCAACCAGGGCGGATCCGTGTAATGTTATCCGGAGCAGCGCTTTCTGCGCGATAGAAGCCGCTGTCAAATTCACAATACGGATGTCCGTCCACGAAATCACAGTGGTTGCCCAGCAAGTTCTCACACGCACAGTGCTTTGCAAGACACGCAAAACGCGAAAGCCCAATCCCAAGATAGCCTGGAAATCCTGCCGAGTTGCGAGACGACCTCTCATAAGCTGTGGTGCACACGTTGTAACTGATGTCGCTCGTCTTCACATTGCACTCCCGCATCTCGCTGAGCAGCGACAACGCATGCCGCCACTGGCCGCATCTCTCACACGCGCAGGTCGCAGCGCTGTAGCTGACTACGGTAGAGCCGTGGACTTACGTCCACGACAGCTGATTCGCACGCAGGGGTGGAAATCGCGTGCCTGCTGTCATGCATGCGCGCTGCCATGCTCGCAAGGCTGCTAGCTTGCTGCCCCAGTAACTCCATACCAGGTGTTTCTGTTTGCGTGCTGGCCAATGTTTCTGATTCCATTCCTATCAGCTTGCCTGCTTGCTTGCTTGGTTGCGTTGTCGCTCGCTCTTCTGCTCGGTGGTAACCAAGATCACGTAGGAGGTCGGCCACCGCCTCGGCAGGGGTAGAGCGCGGGCGGGACACAGAAGAGGTCATAATACTTAGGCAACCGCTTCGGCGGGTGGTCGGATAACGGCGTTGGATGCGGGGAGCGGGAAACTCGAGTGCGAGCATGCCGAGCATGCGAGCATGCTTGGTGTGCGTTCACTACGGGTGCGTGGATGTGTACTCGGGTCTCGGTGAATGCTGTGGAGATGTCGGCGCGTTCGCTTGCGGTGCGACGTGGCATGCAGCTTGCGATCCTGTGCGTCGGGTTTGGTGTTTCGGGCGTTGCGGTAGGGTTGCTTGGTTCTGAAGGGCACAGGACGAGGAGCTGCGGCGTAAGCCAAGCTTAGACCTGTGCTCGCCGTTTACTCGATGTTGCCAGGGGTGGCTCGTCGCAAGAGGCGTCCGACGGCTTCTGGGGAGCAGGCTCGTACAACGGATACAGAAGGATATTTTCTGCGAGGCATGTGCGCGGGTGATGAGGGGCATGTTTTCAACTACGTCCGGTGCTACGTGGCGGGTGCGAGGTGCGCGGTGCCCTGCTTTGTGCTGGCGCCGCGGAGAGAGAGAGAGAGAGAGAGAGAACAAACAAAAAAAAAAGAGAGAGAGGCGTGGGGCCAGGAGAGAGGTGGGAGGAGCAAGGCAAAGCGAGAAGCGAGGAGCCAGGAGCGAGGAGCGAGGAGAGAGGCAGTAGCGCGAGGCGAGGGCGGCGAGAAGCGAGGGAGCGAGCTTGGGGAGGCAGGAGGAGAGGCCGGCGCACGGCTGTCTCAGCGGCCTCGGCGCGCGTGCGGCCGAACGTCTGGCCTCCTCTGGGGCCGCTCGCGGGGCTCTTTCCTGGGCGGCCGGCGCGGTCCCCGAGCCCTCGAGAGGACCTCCCCTCGGAAGCCTCTTGGAGGCGGTGTTGGCGCCGCCTTGAGGCCTCGAGGGGGGCCCCTCGGGGCCTGCTTCGAGCCTCGGGGGCCTCCTGGGGCTTCTGGGGGTCCTCTCGGGGGCCCGCCGGCGGTCTTCTCGGGGCGGAGGGTGCGAAGTGTCAGTTTGAAGCCCCCCCTCTTGGGGCTCTCTTGTGTTCTTCTCGGAGCTGTCATCGGGCCGGTGGGGGCCTCCTCGGCCGTCTTGCGGCCGTCTTGGGCTGTCCCGGGGCCCTCTTGGGGGCCTGCTGGGCCGTCTGCCTTGAGGCGATGCGGGGGGAACCTCGGGCCGTCGTGGAGCGTCGTGGGCCCGAGAAGGCGCGAGAACGGGGGGGGCCTTGTGGAGCCCTCTTGGGCCACCTCGGGGCCCCGTTGGGCCGTGCTTGCAGGCCACATTGACGACCTCGTGAACCGCCTGGGGGCGTCCCAGATCATCTTGGACCGTCTTGGGGCCCTTCTTGGGCGGTCCTGGAACGCCCAGGCCCTCTCTGTTTGGCCCTGGCCTGCCAGAGCACCAGACACGCCCTGTTCGACGCAGGCCCTGCTGGCACGCGGGAGGCGCTGCATTGCAGAAGAGACCAGCGTGGCCCCGTGGGAAATGCACGGCTGGCAGATTGAGGTGTCAGTGCCGAAGGCGCACGTGGCGCTGATCGCAGGCGGCACGTGCGCGTTCGGGGCCGACAGGCTCTCGGGTTTGTTGCAGGCTCTGGGCTCTGGGGCTGGAGGCTGCCTGCGAGTGTCTTGGGAGGGTATGGGGTACCTCGGAGTGGTCCTCCGAGGGGTCTCGTGGCATCGACGGCTGCGGGAAGTCCGCAGTCCAGTCTCGCTGCAGCCTCCCGCAGGGCCCTCTTGGGCCGCCTTGGTGCGCTCGTCCGGGCCTATCGGGCAAATCTAAAGCGATCGCAGAAGTGCCTGAAGCCCTGTGGGGCCGCTCTGGGCCTGTTACTGGGAGAATGTGCGGAAACATTCGGAAACATTATGTATTTGCTGGATTCTTGGCCTCGTGGGACCGTCACTGGGGTTCTCGTGGGCCTCCTGGGACCGTCCCGAGATCTCTTGGGCGATCTTGGGGCTAGGGTGGGGGTCTGGGGCCCTCTGGGAGCCAATTGAGGGCCCTCCTGGGCAGCTCCTGGGGCGTCTTGGGGAACAACTTGAAGCTCTGTTAGGCTCTCCGGGGCCTGTTCTGGGGCCGTCTTGGGGCTCTCACCGGCCGTCTTGGTGGGCTCGTGGGGGCCTCTTGGGCCATCTCGGTGAGATCTTAGAAAGACCTGGCGCCGTGTGGTGCCGCTCTGGGCCCGTCATGGGGAGGACGTGGAAAGCCGTGAAAAATGTAAGGTTTGGGCTTGTTTTTTCGCCTCGTAAAGTCGTCATCGGGGTCCTCCTGAGCCGTCGTGGGCCGTCCCGGGGGTCTCTTGGGCCATCCTGCGGCCATGTAAAGGGTCTCGGGCCGTCTTGGAGCTCGCTTTGGCGCCTGTTGGGCAGCTCCTACGTATGCCTCTATTGGGGCTGTCTTGTGGGCCACCAGGAACTCTATGAGGCTGTCTTGGGCTTCTCTTTGGCAGTCTTCGGGCCCTGAGGCCGTCTTAGGGCACTTGGCGGTACCTTCTGGACCGTCTGGGTGCTATCTGGGATGGCCTTGGAATCGTCTGGGGCCGTTCTTGGCCCGAAAAGGCGAGAACGTGCGAAAACGTTCGACAATCAATGGGAGCTAGATGGTTTTAGCCTCGGGGAACGGTCATCGGGATCCGCCTGGGCCTCTCCTGGGACGTCCTTGCGCCCTCCGGAGCGTCTTGGAGCCATATCCGGGCTGTCTGGGGCCGTGTTAGAGCCACTTGAAGGCTCTAGGGAGCCGTCGAAGAGCGGCGGGGACTCCGTCCACGACATCTTTCTGGAATGGTTCTCGGAGGAACGGCGCAGATTGTACCGAAAATCTACAAACACGGCGGCGGCTCGGGCGGCGGCAGCGAGACCGCGCCTTCGTGTCCGAGCTCTTGCAGCGCTGCAGCAGCTTGGCCCAGCGCACTGCTCGTTCACCCCCCTCCTATTGAGGACAGTTTCGAAGTCTCTCGGGGATGTGCGTCGAAGTCGAAGCCCATCTGAGGCGTCTCAGGAGCGCTCGGGGAAGGGCTCGGGAGGCCATCGGGGAAAGCCACCGAAAGCGCCGGGGAGGCTCGCAAGGATCTACAGGGAGGGCCCAAGAGAGCTTCAAGAAAATTTGAAATCCAGTGAAGTCTTAAGAGAAACCGCTGTTGGGTCGGCCATCACCTCCAGGCGCGCCTTGATGGTGCGATCCAGTCGCATCACCGCCAACGGGAGGGTTTGTTCGCCATGTCCCATTCTGTTCGCCCAGAGGGTCAGTGGAGGCCTTCGGGCGAACAGAACGGGACAGGGCAAGGAATGGGGAAGACATGTCCGAAACTCCTGGGCCCCCCAGATGCTCGTCCGAAGAATGCGGAGAGGTCCCAGGGTCATATCAATTGGCTGCTGTCCCAGGGGTCCGGTCTGCTTGGCCCGAAGAGTTTGCCAAGGCCCCTGGGGGAACAGAATGGCACAGCATATCGGGCAAAGGGGGGCGGTAGCTGGCCTGTCAGACCCGGCGTTCGTCTTCTGCCCAAGCGGCGCGGGGCCCACGGGCCCCAGGGTTGGCGTCCCGCTGGGATTCCTCTTGTTCGCCCACAGGGTTGGAGGAGGCCTCCAGGCGAACAGAATGGGGCAGGACAATGAATGTGGGAGACTTGTCGCAAGCTCCCAGCCCCCCCAAGTGTGCGCCCGAAGGGTGTGGGGCCGCGTTGGCTCCCTCAAAGGGCCGTCTTGGAGCCGTCTAGGCCCGTCTTGAGGGCGCCGTTTGCCCTGATGGGGCCGTCTTGGTTCGTCGTGGGCCCCTCATGGGCGCGTCCGTAGGCCGTCCTGGGCCCATCGGGGTCCTCGTGGGGCTGTCTTGGAGCCGTCTGGGACCGTGAGGAGGCCGCCTTGGAGTCGTCTTGGGCCCCTCCTGTGCGCCTCCTTGGGCCGTCCTGGGCCCAGCAGGGGCCGTGTTGGCACCCTCTTGGGGCTGTCTTGGAGCCGTCTTGAGCCGTCGCAGCGCGCCTTGGGTTGTGCTGGGTCCGTCTTGGCCCGTCTTGGGGCCTTCCTGGGCGGTTCCTCGGACCCTCCTGGGACTTTCTGGGGCCTCTTGGTGCATCGGACCGCCGAAACGGCGGGAAACGCAAAGGGTGTAACAGTAAACAATGGAAAATGAACGATTTTTGCCAGCTGGGACTCTCTTGCCATCTTGGCCCGTCTTGAGGCCCCGAACGGGCGCGTCCTTGGGCCGTCCTGGGCGCACCCTCCTGGGACCGTCTTGGAATCGTCTTGGGCCGTCTTGAGCGCGCCTTGGGCCGTCCTGGGCCGGTCTGGGGCCGTGTTGGCACCCTCGCGGCGAGGAAGCTCGGAGGCGGGCTCGAGGCCTCTTCGGGGCCATTTTGGAAGCTGTTGGGGCCTCTGTAGGGGCCTCGTTTGGGCTCCTTGGGAGCCTCCTGGGGCCTCTTCGGGGGATTCTTGGCGGCCCCTTGGGGCCTCTTGGGGGCCTGTTTGGGCCTCCTGGCGCCCTCTTGGGGCGGAAGGCTCGGATTTTCGGTCCGTGGTCCCCCTCTTGGCCCCCTCTTGGGCCTGTCTTCGGGCCCTCGTGGGCCGTCTTGAGCGTCTCTTGGGTCGTCTTGGGGCCCTCTTGGGCTGTCTTGGGGCGCTCTTGGAAGCCTCTTGGGCCGTTCTGGGGCGCTCTTGGAGGCCTCTTGGGCCGTCTTCGAGCGTCGGAAAGCGGAAAAGGCGAGAAGGCCAAAATCCTTCCAAAACCGTCGTAAAGCGGACGATTTTGAGGCCCAAAACCGTCCAAAACCTCCTGAGGCGGTCCCCTCGTCCGCCCCCCTCGCTTCGAAGCAGTTTTTAAGCCCCGTGGCACCTCTTGGGGATCTCTTTTGGGCTCCTGGGGGCCTCTTGGGCCTCCACTGGATTCGCTGCCCTCGGTCGGCAATCGTCGATCCTACGACGACTCTCCCCAACGGAGAAACATCGAAGGCCCTCGGAGCGTCCAACATTGTTCTTTTGTGCCTTCGATATGCCGGTCGCCTCTCGTCCGCTCCCCCCCTCCTGGAAGCAATTCTGAAGCCACTTAGGGCTTCGTGGGGGCCGTTTGGGGATCTCTTGGGGCGTTTTTGCCTGCGATATGCCTGTCGCCTCTCGTCCGCTCCCCCGCTCCTGGAGGGAATTCTGAAGGCACTGAAGGCTTCGTGGGGGCCGTTTCGGAGCCTCTTCGGCCTTCGTTTGGGCCTCCCGGGGGGGCTCTTAGGGCCCTCTCGGGCCGTCTTGGGTGCCTCTTGGGCCGTCTTGGGGCCGTCTGAGACCCGCCTCGGCGCCTCTTGGGCTGTCGTGGGCCGTCTTGGGCCGCTCCTGGGGTCGTCTTGGGTGCCTCTTGGGCCGTCTTGGGCGCCTCCTGGGCCGTCCTGGGGCCGTCCTGGGGCGTCTTGGGACCGTCTGGGGGCCCTCCTGGCCCGTCTTGGGGCTCTCTTGGGGTCCTCTTCGGCCGTCTTGGAGCGGTCGGGGGGGCTTCTTGGGCCGTCTTGGAGCGTCGGGAAGCCGACGAGGCGAGGAGGCCGAAAACATCGAAAAACACAGTAGAAATCGACGATTTCTGTCGCTCGGGGCCCTCTTGGAAGGCCTCTTGGGAGGCCTCTTCGGGCGTCTTGGACGCCTCTTGGGCCGCCTGGGGCGAATCTCGGGCGTCTTGGGCACATCTTTAAGCGTGCCGGGGCTCTCCGGGGCCGTCTTGGGCGCTTCTGGGGGCCCTCTCGACACGTCCTGGGGCCTGCCTGGGCGGCCCGGGGCGGCCCGGGGCCAGCCCGGGGCGGTTTTGAGACATTTGAGCCTGCGCCCTTCCCGCACGCACGTGCCCCTGCAATGTAGTAGAGATGACGTTGATCTCCAGCTTCGCCTCCCGCATCTCGCTCAGCAGCGCCAGCGCCCGCTGCCACTGCTCGCCCTTCTCGCACGCGCTGATCCCCGCGCTGTAGCTCATGACGTCGGGCACCAGCTTCGCCACCCACATCTCGCTCAGCAGCGCCAGCGCCCGCTGCCAATGCTTGCCTTTCTCGCACGCGCTGATCCCAGCGCTGAAGCTCATGAAGTCGGGCTCCAGCTTCACCTCCCGCATCTCCCTCAGCAGCGCCAGTGCCCGCTGCCACTGCGTGCCCTTCTCGCACGCGCTGATCCCAGCGCTGTAGGTCACGACGTTGGGCTCCAACGTCGACTCCCACATCTCGTCCAGCAGCGCCAGTGCCCGCTGCCACTGCTCGCCTTTCTCGCACGCGCTGATCCCAGCGCTGTAGCTCATGACGTTGGGCTTCAGCTTCGCCTCCCGTATCTCGCTCAGCAGCGCCAGTGCCCGCTGCCACTGCGCGCCCTTCTCGCACGCGCTGATCCCAGCGCCGTAGCTCATGAAGTTGGGCTCCAGCGTCGCCCCGCACATCTCGCTCAGCAGCGCAAGTGCCCGCTGCCACTGCATGCACTTCCCACACGCGCTGATCCCAGCATTGTAGCTGATGACGTTGGTCTCCAGCTTCGCCTCCCGCATCTCGCGCAGCAGCGCCAGCGCCCGCTGCCACTGCGTGCCCTTCTCGCACGCGCTGATCCCAGCGCTGTAGCTGATGACGTCGGGCACCAGCTTCGCCCCCCACATGTCGCTCAGCAGCGCCAGTGCCCGCTGCCACTGCATGCCCTTCCCGCATGCGCTGATCCCAGCATTGTGGCTGATGACGTCGGGCTCGAGCTTCGCCCCCCACATGTCGCTCAGCAGCCCCAGCGCCCGCTGCCACTGCTCGCCCTTCTCGCACGCGCTTATCCCAGCGCTGTAGGTCATCACGTTGGGCTCCAGCTTCCCCTCCCACATCGCGCTCAGCAGCGCCAGTGCCCGCTGCCACTGCGCGCCCTTCTCGCACGCGCTGATCCCAGCGCCGTAGCTCATGAAGTTGGGCTCCAGCGTCGCCCCGCACATCTCGCTCAGCAGCGCAAGTGCCCGCTGCCACTGCATGCACTTCCCACACGCGCTGATCCCAGCATTGTAGCTGAAGACGTCGGGATCCTGCTTCGCCTCCCGCATCCTGCTCAACAGCGCCAGTGCCCGCTGCCACTGCTCGCCCTTCTCGCACGCGCTGATCCCAGCGCTGTAGCTGATGACATTGGGCTCCAGCTTCGCCTCCCACATCTCGCGCAGCAGCGCCAGCGCGCACTGCCACTGCTCGCCCTTCTCGCACGCGCTTATCCCAGCGCTGTAACTGATAACGTCGGGCTCCAGCTTCGCCTCCCACATCTCGCTCAGCAGCGCCAGCGCCCGCTTCCACTGCTTGCCCTTGGCGCACGCGCTGATCCCAGCGCTGTAGCTGATGACGTTGGGCTCCAGCTTCGCCTCCCGCATCTCTCTGAACACTGACAGCGCGTGTTGCCATTGCCCGCCTTGTCTGCATGTGCAGATAGTCGCAACGTAGTGACTTGGGACGAGTTGCACACCTAGTCGAAATCCTTCGCGGAGCAAGCGCAGTGCTGCGCCCAATTGTTTTGTCCGACCGCAGTTCTTGATCGACGCTTCGAGGGAAACAGCGCCTTCTCGGGACCCTCGACCGATATCCCGCATACCAGCTTGAGGGCTCCCTGGGCCAGAATTGGCTTCCTTGAGCCAAAGGGCTACGGGCTGGTGGCAACACGCGAAGTGTCAAGAATTGCAAGTTCTGCCGTGACGGGAATCAACGCATGGAGGAGTCGAGGATCGAGGCTTCTCGACATTGCTGGGGCGTCGCGGGCCTCTTGAGGCGCCCTCGTGGCCACGGCCGGATGCGCCTCGAGAACCTCGTCAGAACTCATCCCACGTCGGGTCCTGGAAGCGATGCTTGACACCCCGGCCCTCGCACATCCAACGTCTAGAGAAAATCGAGGCAGGAGTTCCTCGAACACTGGCCCAGGACTGTAAAATTAGGTCGGGCGTGTCCCCCTACAGGGGGATTTTGGATGCAAAATCGAAAATTGACAAAAAATGCCCTAAATAGACAAAAATAATCAAACAATCGTCCCCTGACGATGTTTGACTTTTATACATCTAACGGGGGACCAGGTCCTGGGGCCGGGGGCCGGAGCCTCGACCACAAATGTGGGGCCCGGGGCCTGGGCCCGCCTCTGGGAGGCCTAAAATCGCCCTAGGGAGCCCTCAGACAGCAATCCCAGCGGCCCCAGACGGTCTCGAGACACCCCAAGACGCCGTCCAGGGGTCCCTGGCGACGCACGATGCGTTTTAAACTGCCCCGGAGGCCCCCAAGACGCCCCAAGAGACCTTTAAGATGCCGCCCAAGAGCCGCCCCGAGGGGGCAAACTCGTTGATTGTGATTGTTTTTTATTGTTTCTTGCATTCTCGCTGTTTCGTGTTTCCGGCGCTGAAGCACCGCCCAAGAGGCTCCCAAAACCGCTCCAAGACGGCCCAAGTGGCCCCCAAGAGACCCTCAAGACGGCCCGAGAGCCCCCTCAAGACTGCCCGAGAGAGCCTCGAGACGGCCCCAGAGCCGCCCAAGACGGCGCAAGAGGGTCCCAAGAAGGCCCCAAAAGGGGCACAAGAGAGAGAACGCGAACCGAAAAATCAAGCTCTCCGCCCCAAGATGCCCCCAAGAGGCCCCAAGATGCCCCCAGAGAGGCCCCAAGAGGCCCACAAGAGGCCCCAAGAGGCCCCCAAGAAGCTCAAAAGAGGCTCCAAGAGGCCCCAAGAGGCCCCAAGGCGGCACCCAAAGGGCTTCATAACTCTTTCTAAGAGGCCCCCAAAGACATGCCAAGAAGGTCCCATGACGACTTCAAGAAGCATTCCAGGATGCTCCGAGAAGCTCGCTAGAACTTCAGCGCGCGCGAAGCGCGCGCGATGGTTCTAGTTTTGAGTATTCCCCCTGTAGAGGGACAGGCCCGACTTGAGACCAAAAACTGGTTGTCCCAGGAAGGGGTCGAAAGGTCCAGGGCTGAAGCGTCGAATCAAATGTTGGAGGCGAAGCTCCCTTTCTGTGCACCCGTTGTCCTGGGAGTCCCCTGCGCACGGCTGTCTGCCTGTGAGCGCGTCCTCTGCGCAGGAGCTGGCCGCGAGGCCCGTGGTGCACCGCGGGCCGCCTTCCTCTCGACTGGCCCGAATGCCATGCTTGCTGGGTTGCGGTGGTCATAGGGTTCTTCACTGAAGCGCGCCTACCCCCCCCCAAAAAAAACAACTAAGTTTCGCAATCGAGGCCCTCCCGTCATCTGGGTGCGAGCGGGCCCGTGCAATACCCCCGCCTGCAACACCACGGTGATCGTGGAGCTCTGGAAGGAAGCACGTCTACCTCCGCCACGTCGAGGTGGCCTTAGGGCCACGAGAAGAAGCACACCAGCCTCCAGAAACGAGCGCTTCGCTCGAGACATCCCCGCACTCTGGGAGCGAACGGGGCCAGTGCAGTGCACCCCTGGCGGTTCCTCTCCCCAGTGGAGTGCCTGCCACATTGCGGTGATCACGGGGCCATGACAAAAGTGGTCGACTGTTTGCATGAGTGCGACACATGGGTTTGGACGCCCGAAATGGGCACGGAAAGAATGGGTACAATGCCCAACAACAAATGTTGTCCCAAACCAACAGCGGCCACTGTTGGGCAGGCGGCCTTCTGTTTCAAATGGACACAGGCCGCGGCGGCGCGGACAGCGAGTCCTGTTCAAAATAAACAGAAACTGCTGTTGGGCATTGTACCCATTCTTTCCGTGCCCATCTCGTGCGTGCAGAATGGGGGAGGCTCCACCTGCTCGAAACAGGCGACGAAAGACAGCAAAGATCTACTCCACGGGGGGGGAGGGGGGGTTGGGGGGCCCGCGCCGATCGGCAAAACAATGCATGAAAGAACGATCACAAAAACACGTCTGCCTGCAAAACAAGCGGCTCGCTCAAGACATCCGCACTATCCGAGCGCGACCGGGTCCGTGCAAGGTCCCCCGGCGGCCGCCCCCCCCTGGGCGGCCCAAATGGAACACCGGCTACACCGCTGTAATCATGGGAGTCACGTCCACCTCCAAAAACAAGCGTTTCGTTTGAGACATCCCCGTGGTCTTGACAAAAACAAGCGTTTCGCTTGAGGCATCCCCACAATCTTGACGCGAGCGGGCCAAAGCGGCGGCAAGGCAAGGAGGTGGGTGAGTGAAGAAAGCGGGGGCGTCACGCCAGTAACAAGTATCCCA